ACCAAGCCACTGGGATTACAGGCATGTGCCACAGCACCCAGTTTGAGGTTCTTAACTTCAGCATGTTTCAAAAGCTTAGAAACAACAATGTGTAAGGGATGGAACTGGTTAAATCATACCCCAGTTATGGTATGATTTCATACAATCAAATAGTATAGTATGTAGCCATGAAAAAGGAGGCGCTTATGTACATGTACAGAATCATCTCTACATTGTTTTAACTTAAAAAAAAAAAGCAAGGTGCAGAGTGACATGTGTGGAATGCTGCCATCTGAGTGGTGAGAAAAAAAAAAGCTTATTTGTATTTTTCTATGCATAAATTATTTCCAGAAGACTGCACAAGAAAATGGTAATTATGGTGACCTCTGAGAAGGTTGCTGTGGGGCAGAGAAGGACAGGAATAGGATAAACTTGGTTTCCAACTTACATTCTTTTGTGTCTTTTGAATTTTATGCCACGTGCATATGTTCTTCCAAGGAATACATTAAAATTGTATATATTTGTGTGTGTGTGCCAGGGACATTAGGCATGCTAGGAAATTGTTCTGCCACTGAGCCACATCCCCAGCCCCCAAATAAATAAATAAATAAGGAAATATAAATATATATACATATGTGTATACATATTCAGATATATACATATGCATGGCGCGCGCGCGTGCGCACACACACACACACACATATATATATATATATATATATAATTTTTTTGCAGTATTGAGGATTGAACCCAGGGGTACTCTACCACTGAGCTACATCCCCAACCTTTCATTATTTATATTTTTGAGACAGGATCTTTCTAACTTGCAGAGGCTGTCCTTAAATTTGCAATCCTCCTGCCTCCGTCTTCCAAAATCATGGAGATTATAAGTATGGACAACGCCCCCGGAGCCTGTTGAAGTAAGCCAGATAGGACATGGCCTTGGCATGAACAAGGRAAAAAGTTTGGAAGCAGATCAAAGTAGGTGGACTTGAGATTTCGGTTGGAAATGGARTCCACAGGTCTTAATTTGGGGCTTGTTAGGTAAGAGGGAAGGATCTCTGTTTCTGTCGAGCACATCATCTCAGAAGAATGGTGAGGCCATTGGTCGAGATGGAAAGACGGGGTCAGGAGAAGGTCTGGAGTAGGAGAATCAAGAGCCTTGTTTGGGATCTATTGCGTTCGAGATGTTTTTTGGACGTAGAGAAGACTTCAAGCAGGAAGTTGGATATGGGAGTCTGGAGCTCCCAGGAGAGGTCTAGGCTGGAAATATACATTGGTGAGTCACCAGCATATAGATGGTATTTAAAGCCATGAGACTGGATGAGATCACCTAGGGAGAGAATATAGTTAGAAAAGAGAAGACCCAAAGCTGAGCTGGCGAGAGAAGAAATCTCGAAAATTGGCGAGGGTGGCTCCTGTGCTCAGAGTCAGGGATGGGGGCACCCTGCTGAGAGAGAGAGAATGAATCAAGAAGTAACCACTAAGTTTGGCAAATTAAGAAGTCACTGGTGGGGCTGGGGTTGTAGCTCAGTGGTAGAGTGCATGCCTTGCACGTGTGAGGCACTGGGTTCGATCCTCAGCACCACATAAAAATAAATAAAGGTATTGTGTCCATCTATAACTAAAAAAACATTTAAAAAAAAAAAAAAAAAGAAGTCACTGGTGAACTTGACCAAAGTGGCTTCAGTGGATGGGTGGGGATGAAGTCATATCAGAAGAGGTTGAAGAATACATTTACGGTGAAGGAGTGTAGACAGCAAGTGTAGACTTTTACTAGAATGATGTGCATCCATGGGTTCTCTCTCCTGTGATCCCAAGGGGAAGAAACACGTCCTGGTGATTTTTTTTTTTTTTTTTTTTTGTGGTGCTGGGGATTGAACCCAGGACCTTGTGCATGCGAGGCAAGCGCTCTACCCACTGAGCTATATCCCCTGCCCTGTCCTGATGATTCCTATAGAAGTCAGAGGTGGAGTCCAGAACCCAGGAGGGCTTAACCACTAAGCCCTAGTCCCACCCATCCCCCCTTTTTCAACGTAGGTTCTCACTAAATTGCAGAGGCTGGCTTTGAACTTGGGATCCTCCTGCCTCAGCCTCCTAGACTGCTAGGATTACAGGCATGCAGCACCATGCCTGGCCTTCAATACATGTACTTAATGATTAGATAAATAGATGAACAGATAATCCGCTCATTCAAAGGTCTGGTAGAGAGAGCAGCAGTACTCTGTGGAGCGGAAACAGGAACCATCCCCACTGTCCCTCCTATGCCCTGTGACTTCGAAGAGATAAGTGTAGGGGAAAGCAGCCCATAGGAACCAGTTCCAACGAGGCTCATTCAGGTTATTTTTCTCTCCTCTTTTCCCTGTTCTTTCCTCTCTGGGCTTTGTTGTTGTTTAGGAAATACAAGCTCTTGTGGTGAGAGACTCCCAGCTTGCCATGTGGGGAACAGGCGGGCTGGTACTTTGAGGTCCCCAAGGCAGGGAGGATAGAGAGGGACCCAGTAGAGGAAGGAGTGCCATCTGTGGGGCAGAGGCCCCCACACAAGCTGGACATGTGCCTGGCTTTGGGGCAAGCCAAGGAACTAGGTCTTTGAGAGACTGGCAGAGACAGGCATCTGTGTATTAAGTCCAAGGAGACCCTCAAATGTCCTTAGCCAGGGTGGGCTGGAACATGTCTGTGACACACCGACCTACCTGCCAATCAGAGGGGAGCTAACTCTTATAAACCAGGATGAGGGCACAGGAGTGACGATGGCTGTTGGAAAGTCACAAAGAGAGACTGTGGAGGGGCCCACCAGCCACCAAAGGGCAAACGGAGATACAGAGGAGTCTTCAGAGGCTCTGTGAATGTCCAGGAGACCTACCTTGGAATGGGCCAGAGGAATTCTTCTGATGACCCCCCAAGCCACCAGTCCCTAGCTGTCCCTTTTCCTACTGCACCAGATGCACCAGAGGCAGGAGCTGGGGCTGGAGGTGCAGCTGTGCCTTCCCTGGTGAGAAGAGGTGAGGTCGGCAGGCCCGGACACTGCTGCCACCTGGTGGGCAAATCCTGCTATTTCTCTTGGTCGTGGATTCCAGACTCATTCTCTGCTGAGCACTAAGGTTTGGAGGTGGGTGGGAAAGACCCCTGTGTCCCTGAACTTGGGGACACAATGCAAGCAAGGGGGAACCCCGGAAGGAGAAACACACCTTCTAGGAAGTGTGTTTTTCCTCTACTCCTTTCGCCTTTTGTGCTGTTTCTGTCTTCCATATAGTGGGACAAGGATACCTACCTGTAGGAAATTGTAGTAGTTAGATGAGTTGCTGTATGCAAAGTACCTGTCATATTAATAAACACTACCTGTGGTTGACCCAAGGGACAACTGAGTTGTGTGTAGCCTTGTCTCCCACCCCCAAAATGTGCCTGTATATAAATCCATGGCCCCAGGTTTTGGAAAGATAGCCCCACCCAGTCCCAACTATATATAAGTTCTGGAGCCACCATTATTGTTTTTTTTATTTGTGTATTTATTATTTTTTGTGGTGCTGGGGATCCAACCCAAGGCATAGCACATGCCACACACTCTGCCACTGAGCTAACCACCACTCTTTGTTGTTGTTGTTGGTCCTGGTGGTACCAGGAATTGAACTTGGGGCACTCAATCTCAGAGCCACATCCCCAGCCCTACTATGACAGGGTCTCACTGAGTTGCTTAGTGCCTCAGTGTTGTGGAGCTGGTTTTGAACTCATGATCCTCCTGCCTCAACCTCCCAAGCTGCTGGGATTACAGGCCTGCACCACGACGCCCAGCGGTCACCACCGCTCTTACTGTCTTATCAATCACATTGTCCTAAACTAGGCAGGCTCTGTGGGCCCCAACTGCTCCYATTCTGCTTCAGGGTTTGAGGGAATGGTCCAAGTCCTAGCACTTTGCTCCCTCCTCTCCTCTCACCCCAGAGTATGACATCAGAAAGGGTCTGAGCTGTGACTGTGACATCATAGAGCCCTACCCTGTAAAAGAAGGGGTCATGAGGCGGTGGCAGTGGGTACCCATGTGGGTGTGGCTGGCTGGACTGGGGGCCATAGAAACAGGTGGGAAGCTCCCAGTGAGTGGAGGGGAGAAAAGCGGCTGGGGGATAAGGGACAATGCCCCCGAGGAACTCGAGACCAGCCCGGGGCCTTTCTCTCCCCCGCCCCCACCTTCTTCTCCCATCCGCCCCGGCTCAGCCAGTGTTCGCCCCTCATGGGAGTGCAGCTGACCCCAGAGGAAACAAAATTGAGAGTCGAGAGTCAGCCTCTGCCTCTGGGGTCAGGGGCAGGGGTCTGCTTGGCTGTTGTCACAGACTTTGCTCTGGACCCTAGCGCCCAGCCCAGAGTTGGCCCCAGGATCAGAGCCTCCACGCTTCATAGACAGACTTGACTTCTTTGACTACCCAGACTCGGACCAAGCCAGCATTCTGGCCGTGGCCCAGTTTATTGGAGAGAGGCCTGTGGTCTTTGTTAAATCAGGTATGACCCAGTTTGGGGCAGGGGCCTCCCTCCTCGGGGGCTAAAGGAGAGCTGCCCCTGACCTTCCTTGTCCGGCAGGTTCTGGCCCTGGACTCTTCAACCACATCCTGGTGGGAGCCCTGGTGGTGGCCTTCCTCTTCCTCCTTTTCCAGTTCTGCACCCACATGTGAGGCTGCCCCATGCCCCTGGCCCTCCCTGTCAACCTTCCTAGGGAGAGGAGAGGTGGGAGGACCAGGTCTGGGGGAGGCGGTATGACGGATCACCTTTTCCTCTGACCTCCATACCCATAGGAGCTTCCAGAAAGGGGCCTAAGGGGCCTCGCAAGGGCCCTGGACGCAGCCTGAGTGCCCAAATCCACCCCCCTCTGCTGATCAATAAAGGTCCTGGCCTCCTCCCTCCCTGACTGCTCAGTGACCAGCTGGGGTGGGGTCGCTGCCCTCTCTTTGGTCTTTCTGCTCCACATTCCCCAGGTCCCCACCTCCTTCCTTCCCGGCCCCAAAGAACTGGGCAAAGACAGTCAAGGTGGCGTTCACGCAGACGCAGATCGTCTTTATTAGCGGTCTGTAAAGCACCTCCCAGGGTCCCCCGACCCCAGATTGGAGGAAGCCTTGAGAGGTCTGTAGCACCAGGGACATGCCAGGGCCGGAGGGCAAGATGTGCAGCCTGGTGGGAAGGGGCTGGGTGCCCTTCACCGGCCCCCCGGGGTTGCTCAGCACTGGGAAGGCTGGGGGTGGGGGTAGCAGCCACCTCCCTCCCCCACCCCAGCAAATCAGTTTGAATTTGGGCGAATAAATAAAATAAATAAAATCCCTCAGGCCGGCCTCCCTGGAGAGGAGCTGAGAGGCAGCAGCCAGCCCTCAGGAGGCCCGCGGGGTGAGTCAGGGTGTCCCCTCTCTCCCAGGTGACCCGGGAGCAGAGAGGGGTTTGCAGCAGAGGGGCTGGGATGTATGTCCTTGGCAGCAGGCCACCCCCATGTCCTTGACTCCTGGTCCCCTTGAGTCCCTGTCTCCCCACAGGCCCCCAGCCCTTGGCAGGTGGGAAGTGCGCTCCCTTCCCCTTTCCTAGCTGTCCCAGCGCAGGGGGTGCGAAGGCTCAGCCTGGCTCCTGAGGGAGGTCCCCTCTCTCCCTGCCTTGTGGTCACCTGCTCCTGTTCTTAGCCCCTGAGGGAATATGCCCCTCCCCCCTGAGTCCATCGGTCAGTCCTGGGGCTGTCAAGGCAAGGGGCCCCTGGCTCCCAACCCCCACCCACTGGCCCCAGAGCCCTGTCCCCATGTGGGGGTGCAGGTGGGGAGGGTCCCCAGGCCCCACCCTCAATCCTGGGTCTGACAGGGAGAAGGTGGCGGGGAGCCTCGGGGCCGGAAGAGGCGGCAAGCCCCACGGCAGATGAGGAAGAACCAGTAGAGCTGGGGGGCGAGCAGCAGCGCGGCGCCCAGGTTGACGTGGGCCGGGATGGCCAGGGGCACGGCCAGCAGGGGCAGCCCGGCGTGGCGCCCGTAGGCCCAGTACAGGTAGGGGAAGAGCAGCACCCGGCAGCACAGGAAGCTGAGCAGCATCAGGGCCCCGTTCACCTTGTGCAGCAGCGTGTGCTGCTGCTTGTACTGCGGACAGAGCGCAGGTGACGGGGCGGGGAGCAGAGGCCCTGTCCCCCTTGCGCACCCCCTCCCCATCTTCCCGCAGGTCAGAGGCCCCAGAACCACCCCCCACCACTGCCTCCCCTCTACCCAGCCTGCTTCTCCTCCCGCGCCTGACATTGCACGCACATGACATTGTACATTGCTTTTAACGAGCCCCAGAAGGTCCCTGAAAGTGCCTGCCCTGCCTGGGCCCTGGGATCAGGCTCCTATGCCCTCAGGTACCCTCTCACCTGGATGAGGATCTTGCCAAGGCAGACGAAGGGGGTGCTGACCTCTGCCATCAACATGCAGCCTAGAAAGAAATCTCCCTTCCCCTGTCGCCACACCTGGGAGGAGAGGCAGGAGGGTGAGGGGCAGCCCTTCCTCTCCCCTGTCACTTAACAGGAGAATCTCAGGAGCAAAGCTGGGCGCCTTGCCTCTCTGCATCCCTCCTAGAGTCCTGCAGGTAAGATGGCGCCTCGCACCACAGGGGAGGAGACAGAGGCTCAGAGACACGCAGCAGAGGCTCCACAAAGTGCCACAGCTGGGCACGGTCCCGCTGGGCCAGGCTGATTCTAGACCTTTGTGCCTCCTGTGACCCGGGCTGGGCGGGTACCCAGCAAATGTCCCTCCACCCCATCCTGCTGGGAGGGCTCCCAGGCCCCTGCAGCTGGTGTGATGTGCAGGACAAGCCCCCCGCCACCCCCCTCCCCACCAGGCCATCTGGCTCTGGGAGCACTCACCACAGAGACGGGGAAGCACACCAGCACCATGACAGCATGGTGGAGCACCATGAGGAACTCCTTGTGCAGGTAGCCGCGCACCACGGCCCAGGTGCTGCCCTGTGCTCTGCGTCTCCCGTCGTCGTCCCCTCCATGCCCTTTGACCTGGTGCTTGTGCCAGTGGCAGAGGAACATGGCGTAGATGTCGTAGATGAAGTAGGGCACTGCAAATTGCGTGTAGGCGGAGGAGAGCCAGTGTCTGTGGGGCAAAGAGAGGGGGAGGGATCAGGAGGGAATGGACAGCACCCGATGCTCCACCAGAGACAGATCTCAAGGGACGCCCACAACCCAGAGATGGAAGTGAAGTCTCGGGTGAGAACACAGTGAGTTATGGATGATGGAACAGAAGGGTGGAGGGAAATAAACTTGCCTAATGTCATATAGTCACACAGCTGCTGAGTGTTGGGACTGGGATTCAAACAGACCTCGGAATCCACCATGTTGCACTCATGCGTGCACTTGCGCTCTCTCTCTCTCTCTCTCTCTCTCTCTCTCTCTCTTTCTCTCTTTCTCTCATATACTTGGGGGAAAAGGAAAGGAGACCAGAAAACACCTATAGATGAAAGGGCAGAGATGCAAGATATGAAGAGAATCAGATTAGGACAAAGCACACAGGAAGTAAAGACCTATGATTGAAGACCAATTGCTCATTTAGTATAGCCAAGTACTATACTAATACCGAAACCTCTACATTGTGTAAACTTATTTACTCCTCACAAAAACCCTACAAAAAGCCATACATGGTGGCACACACCTGTAATCCCAGCAACTTGGGAGGCTGAGGCAGGAGGATCACAAGCTCAAGGCCAGCCTCAGCAATTTTGTGAGGCCTTAAGCAACTTAGCAAGACCCTGTCTCAAAGTTAAAAAAAGGGCTGGGGATGTGGCTCATTGGTAAAGTGTCCCTGGGTTCATTTCTTGGTACAAAACAACAAACAAAAATCCCTCCATAAAAAGTAAGCATGGCTTTCATCTCCATTTCACAGATGAGGAAACCGAGTCACAGAAAGGCTAAGCCAAGGAATAACCACGGGAAGTTCTCTCTCTCTCAGCCCGCAGGCAAGGTAGAGGTGCTGCCAGTGCTGCTTGTTCTGCCTGAAGGTGGCCTGATTGCTTGCTTTTTCAGGTCCTGCCAAGCATTAAGAAGAAAATGCTGAGCAAAGGTGCCGCGGACAGAGAAAGTTCTACTTATATTGAGAGTAAACAAAACCCGAGAAGCACGTGGATCTGCAACATTGCATTTTTCTTCTTGAGTCAGCACAGTGGCACTTTCTGCAGTCCTGAGACAGGTCTAAGGTGGGAGTGGAAGGTCCAAAAAGCAGGCCTGGGGGAGCCTGCCCAGCTAGCCAGGGGACAAACACAAAGTCAGCTAGAGGCACTTCACAGAGAAAGAGCCAGGGCCACACGTGAGGAGCTCCTGGGGTAGAGGTCAGCTGAGGACAGGGGGTGGGCCCTGGGCAGGCTGGGTGGGAAGGGGCCAGGCAGCCCACTGGCACCGGGATGATGTCAGGGAAGAGGACTTGAGACCCATGGCGCGGTGCTTCTGGGCATGAGACGGAGAGGCAGCTGGTCAGAAACAAAGGGCAAGTAGTGGGGCTGGGGATGTGGCTCAAGTGGTAGCGCACTTGCCTGGCATGCGTGCGGCCCGGGTTCGATCCTCAGCACCACATACAAACAAAGATGTTGTGTCCGCCGAGAACTTAAATAAATAAATTCTCTCTCTCTCTCTCTCTCTCTCTCTCTCTCTCTCTCTCTCTCTCTCTCTCTCTTATAAAAAAAAAAAAAAAGGGCAAGTAGTTCAGGGAGAAGGTGGGAGAGGACCAAACTGGCCTCAGAGAAGTTATAGCAGGGAGCAGCCCAGAGAGCTGGCCCAGTGACGTGATGGGGATGGGTGAGATGGGACCCTGGAGTGTGGGAGAGGAGGCAGAGGGGCCCCAGGCCCTGGGATGCCATGTGGAGTGTTAAGTCCCATCCCCACCCTCTCAGCAATTAGGTGCTCAGAAGTAGGAACAGCTGTTGCCCCTGGATTAACCCTGATCCTCCCTACCTACCTGAGGATTAAAGGGGGAAGGAGGGACAGGAGCAGACCTGGAGGAGGGGGAGGAAATGCAAGAACGGAAAGGTGACCTCTGGGTAAGAAGGCATGAGAAAGGGACTCGTGGAAGCCCAGGCTTGCCTTGGACCCTGTGGCAGGAAAGAGCATGGAGAAGGCGGGAAGAAGCCAAGTCTCTGGGCAGGGTCTGAAGAAAGAGTTAAGCCAAGAACTAACTGTTCTACTCAGGAAGAACTCACCCCCAGGAAAAGAGGAGGCAAAGAGAGAACAGGGGCACCTCTAGATCAGGGTCATCCAGACGATGTCACCTGGGGCTCCAGGGACATGAGGGAAGGAGAGCAGAACCAGTGGGGCAGGTGTCAGGGGCACCCTCGCCGCAGGCAACTTGCAGCAGCCTGTGGTCAGCCAGGACAGGCAGGTCAGCACCATGGACAGGGCCCTCCTCCTCCTCCTGCCCCACCTCTCCAGCCTGGGCCTCTCTGGCAAGCACCAGGCACTGCAGCAGCTGCCTGTGCCAAATTTTGGTCTGTTCGCCCTCCCTTCCCCTTCCCCCACTGCCTGACCTCAGTGGCCTCGTGTGTCATCTCTCCTCTCTCAGGAGCTGGGGCGACACACCTGAATTCTGGGAGGAGTTAAGGGGTGAGCCCGGCCTGAGAGGAGAGCACGGCAGATGAGTTTGTTGGAAGGTGGGTCTGAGGGGTGGTGTAGGTGGAGACAGAGGAAGTGACATTCAGAGCCCACTACCATACAAGAGGCCCGGAAGCTGACCAGGAACCGCTTTGAGGGTTCTCTTTGATCCCTACTTCTGCTCTCCGGGTTCTGACCTTTGAGGACAAGACAGGATAAATTTATCCCTGGTGTTGAGTTGCAGCTGTGGCAGTAAAACTTGCTCAGGCCCAAGTGAAGAGCATGGGACCACTGGCGGCTCCCCGGAGGATCTCGGGTATTCTGGGATCACACACAGAACAGAGGAGGGACTTGGGCAGAAGTGGGTGCGTGACACTTACTGATCATCGATGATGTGCTTGCAGGAGGTGGAGACGATGTAGCCAGCTGTGGAGGCCATGATGGCTTGGACGGAGGACACTAACCTGGGGAGACAGAGGGAGGAGTGGCAGGTGGGAAGGCGCGTGCCTTGACATCTCCTCTTCACTAGTAGTTATTTGCTTTGGGTTTGGTCACTTCTCAGGCCATTCCTGGCTCACCTCCCAAGACGGGGCTTTCCCAGATTCACCCACCCTACCACCACCACCTCCAGAGTCCTGAGTTGCTCTGCCACTGTCCCTCAGTTTGCCCCATTCCTGGTGGCCTTCCCCTTCCCTTGGCTTGTGAATATTGAGTGGCCTTCCTCTCAAGACACAGGGAGGTCACCCTGAGGTGAAACAATGCTGGGAATGTGTGGCTGAGAGCAAAGCCTCTGCCCAGGAGGGGACGCCCAGGAGGGCAAGGGGAGCCTGTGCTGTTCCTGTCCCACTTGGCTGCCCAGTCACCATGCCACCCATTACTCGGGCCTCTGGCCCTGCCGTGAACCCAAATTCCCCCTGGCCACTTTCCCACTGTCTCCTTGACTGCCACGGAGCTCCCCTCCGGGTGCTGGCCCTAATTCCAGGGTTGTAGAGAGTTCCACTGTTCACTCCTCTGTGCCTCGTCCCCAACACTCATCCTGATTCACACATGGTGCTCTAGCCCTTGTTCCCTGACATCTTATAGGAATGTTTTAGTCACATGCTGGCCCTGTTTGGGAGGTGGGAGGGTGGCTGGGAGAAGGGGAGAAAAGCAGTCTGAACACTAGTAGACCAGATGGCTGGTTTGGGGAGGTCTCCTGGGAAGGTAAGACCCCCGAAGGAAGGGAGCTTGGCAGCAGAGCCCACTGACCACCGCGGGGCTCCCCATCCCCACAGGGGCCAAGGGTGCAGGGAGGTGATGGGGTCCCTTCTGTCCCCATAAAGCCTGAGGAGAAAGGGACTGAGCTGGGGAGGGGATGCCGTTTACCTGGCTGAGACAATGACCGCGTCGGCCTCCTCCCAGCGCAGCTGGGGCAGCCGCTGGAGCGTGTTCTTGGAGAGGAGGAAGAGTCCGGGGAACACCACCCCCCCAGCCACCATCGGGGTCAGCATGGTGGCTCAGGACTCGAGCAGGGAGATGAGCGGGTCAAGAAGGGGCAGAGAGGCAGGGCTGAGGGGAGTTGGAGGTGGAGCCGGGATGCCGAGCCCGGGAGGGAGGGAGGGAGGGAGAGGAAGGGGCACAAAGGGGACAGGGCGGGGACGGGATGGGACAAGGAGCTGGACCAGAGGAAGAGAGAATGGGACTCTAGATCAGACTGGGGACACAGGGAGAGGGCTGGCCAGGCAGAGCAGGGAGCCCAAGGACGGGAGCAGGGAGCAGGAGAAAGCGATGAGGGATGGGAAGAGGCGACAGGGGAGGACTTGGTGAGGACCGAGAGAGAGGGGACAGGAGGAGGAGGATGCAGCTGGGGGAGGGGAGGGAGAGCCGTGGCAGGTGGGGGGGTTACGTGGGGAGACTGGGAGGGCCAGAGGAGGCGGGCTAGGGGGAGAGGTGCCAGCCCTGAAAGGAGGGAGGGGGAGGGACGGAGCCAGAGGAGCGGCGGGGCGAGTGGTCAGCGGTCAGCACTGCTCTCCCGCCACCACCGCCTCCTCTCGGCTGCCGCCACAGTCCTTGCTGCCTGGCAGGGACGCGGCACATGGCATTATAGAGAGTTCATGCCCAGCCCCCTGCCCCCTCTGTGGGGAGGGGGAGGGGGAGGGGAAGCTGCCAGCCTGGGGAGGGCGGGGGAAGGGTGGGGAAATGATGGCACCGACCAGACACCAAGAAACCGGACCTGCAGCAGCGTCTCCCATGCAGCTCTGTGCCACAGCAGCGGCTGCGACAGAGATGGGGGGAGCAGGGAAAGAGGAAGGGGGAGGCCCTTAAAGAGACAGCAGCTGCGGCACAGGGGGGCTACTGGGGACAAGGGCCATGGAAGGGATGGTTCTTCTCGAGGGAAAGAAAGTGATCTGGGGCTCCCTGGCCAGCTGGGAGGGGGCTCTAAACCCCCATGATGGGCCTGACCCCATTTCCCATCAGCACTTTGAAGTGCCTGGCATTTCCTCCTCTGCCAATGCCTCCCAAGATGTGACTGTCAGTGGCCTGCCAGAGCTCTCAGCTTAGGGGCATCTACTCCTGCCAAAGAGAGGGTTCCCTGGGGAAGGGAGCTGGAGGAAGTRGTGCATCTCAACACAGAGTCCTTCAGACCCAGAGCCCCTGCTCTACCCCCAGGAGAGAGAGGAACTGAGAAGCATGAGGCACCTTGTATGTGTTCCCAACTCAGCTGCATGGCTGCCCCATGTCCTTATCTACTGCTGGAACAGTACCAGGTGGCTGTGCTTGTCCCCTTTCTAGTGGTCAGGAAATGGTCCTAGGCACTGAGTGATGCTCCCAGGGTCACAAAGTTAAGAAATGGCAGGAACTCAAAACCCGCCTGAAGCCCAGGAGGCTCAGCCACATTGCTCAGGCTGCCTGGCCTCCCCTGGCTCCCTAGGTGCCCACCGCTTTCTTTTGCTCCTGGTTCCCCTTCCTCTGCCACTTTACAGAAGAGCCCAATTTCAGAGAGGAAAAGGGTCTCAGGGATTGGCTGGACCTCTCATTCAATCACTAGGAAAGTGAGGTCCAGTGACTTGGTCAAAGTCAATTAGGCCAATTCAGAGCTGCTCTTCACTTTCACGTGGCCCCTCTGGAGTCCTGCCTTCTGTCCTGAACCAATGGTTCTGTGGACTTCTTCAGGACATGGCTCTTGCTACCCAAACCATACTTTGGTCTCCAGGTTTGCCCTGAGCTGTGGCTCAATAATCAGGGCTACAGTTGGTCTTTCCCCCTCCCAAAGCCCACTCCTAAAGAGGCAAAGGCTGGAATTTGCAATTTTGTGCTGCCCTCTAGTGGCCTAGAAAAGACCGGGATAAGTCTCACCTTAGGCAGGAGTTGGAAACAGTTTTAGAGACAATTTGTAGATTTAGTTCCTGACCTCAGGGCTTCACTTAAGAAAAAGGGGCCCAATTTCCTGATCTTTATTATATTCTGGGCACAGTGAGAGGCGACTTATGTTGATTCTTATTTAATCTTCCCAGGTGGTGGTATTCTCAGTTTAAAAGAAGTTTAAAAAACAAAAACTTGCCAAGATAAAACARCTATGAAAATTGGTTAGAAGCTGGATTTTGAACCAATGTTCAAAAATGATGACAGGGAGTGTCATTATTAAACCCATTTTGAAGTGAGGAATTTGAAGCTCAGAGGCTAAAGGACTTGCAAAAGATTCCATAGCCAGTGTTTTTTGGAACTGGCTTGAACTCAGGGGCACTCAACCACTGAGCCGCATCCCCAGCCCTATTCTGTATTTTATTTAGCAACTAAGTTGCTTAGTGCCTTGCAGTTGCTGAGGCTGGCTTTGAACTGGCTATCCTCCTGTCTCAGTCTCCCAAGCCACTGGGATTACAGGTGGGTGCCACAGTGGCCAGCCATAGCCAATGTCTTTTGTTTTTGTTTTGGGGTACCAACCATTGAATTCAGGGGCACTTGACCACTGAGCCACATCCCCAGCTCTATTTTGTATTTTTATTTAGAGTCAGGCTCTCACTGAGTTGCTAAGCACCTCACTTTTTGCTGAGGCTGGTTTTGAATTTGCTATCCTCCTGCCTTAACCTCCAGAGCCGCTGGGATTATAGGTGAGCACCTCTGGGCCTGGCTTATAGCCAGTGTCTTTGTGTGTGTGTGTGGTGCTGCAGATTGAACCCAGATCCTTGTGCATGTGAGGCAAGTACTCTACCAGCTGAGCTATATCCCCAACCCATGGCCCATGTCTCTTGCCTCCTAACTCCGAGCTGCATCAGATCCCACATTCTCCTTCTGCTTCTGCCACTACCTAGTCCTGAAATGAAGAGATCAGCTCCAGCAGCCCTGGCCCCCAGGAAAGATACTCTCACCCTGGTCTTCTTACTTGGATGCCACCAAAACAGCCTCTCTTGCCTCCATCTGCAGTTTGGTGTAGTTCTGCAGGCCCCAACGGAGGACAGCGAAGAATACTGGGAAGAAGACGCAACCTAGTACAAAGAGCAGGGCCATGCCTGTCTGAGGTAGAGAAGGGAAAAAGAAATGGTTGTGAGAACTCCTCAACCCTGCAGTGGTCCGTGAGATCCGCTCAGCTGCAGCCATTGAAAATCATTGCGTTTCTAACATCCTTTATCCGGGGTCATTGAACATCCTGGTGTTTGGTTTTGTTCTGTTTCATTTTGTTTAAATCTAGTATTATTTAATTCATTTTCCCTGCCATCCCTGAAGCTGACCTACACCTCCTAGTCCATCTCACACCTTAAAATGGCTTCTCTTTCTCCTCCACCGCAGTGATGTGCCTGCCCTTTCTTAACTCCACCCTGATCATCCTCCGTTCCTATGTCACCCTTGACTCCTCCGAGGGGCTCAGACTTCTCACAGGGTCTCACCTCTCAGCGACAAGGTGGGAGGACTGAGAGGGAGGTCGATGTTTCTCCTCAGCACCCAAAACTTGGGAAAAGGAAGGGAGGGGGTGTTCAAATTGTCAAAACACTTGAAATTTTAAAATAACATTTAAAAAAAAAAAGCCAAAGTGTTTTTTTACCCCATAAAAACGAAAAAAAGAAAAAGGAAACCCTGAAAACACGGATATTTACATAGATATTATTTTTGCCTGGCAAAGCCTCCCCTCCCACCCGCTCCGAGGAGGAGAGGAGTGGGGAAGGCGCAGGAGGGACGCAGGTGGCCGGGGCCTGCCATCCTCCATCCCTGGAGTGCTTCTGAAGGGACCTTCTCAGGCTACAAGGAAGATGTCAAACTGCAAGGGCACGAGGCTGCTCAGCCGAGGCAGTTGGAGCGACAGGAGCATCACCCTCCCATTGGCCAACCTCTTGACACGGGTGCCCTATCGTTTATTTCTGCTGGGGCGGAAGTGGGCAGGGCGTTCTAGCACCTTGTGTAGAATTAGCCAATTAGAGTTCGTTGACGACTTGATGGACAGCGCATTTCAGAGGCGGAGCTGGAAGAAAAGGAATAGGAAGAAGAGGGAGAATAAGAAAGGTCGGTTATTGCTTTAAAAGGTAGTAGAGAAGCTCATTGCCGCGTCTCATGTCTCTAATCCCAGCAGCTCTGGAGGCTGAGGCAGGAAGATCTGAAATTCAAGGACAGCCTCAGCAATTTAGTGAGGCTCTAAGCAATTTAGTGAGACCATGTCTCAAAATCAAAGAAAGCAAAAAAAAAAAAAAAAAAAAAAACAGCCTAGAGATGTGGCTCAGTGGTTGAACGTCCCTGGGTCCAGATTGTGGTGGGGGGGGGGGGGGAAGGTGTGGGGCAGTAGAGAAACTGGCCCTGGAGCACCTCAGCGACAAGGGAGGCTGAGACAGGAGAATTGCAAGTTCAGCCTGGCAATTTAGGGAGACCTTGTCTCAAAAGAAAAAAAAAAATAAAGGACTGGGATGTAGTTCAGTGGCAGAGCACTCCTCAGTATCGCAGGTAAGTGAATACAAAAATTAAAAATGCTAAGGAAATTGTGGCTCTTCATTCCCTGAATGATGGTGAGCAGAACCTCTGTGGGCCTCGGTATCTTCCTCTRTGAGATTGAGATCATAATGATGACAGCTAATTATATTGCATTTACTGTGGGCCAGACTCTGATCTGAGTGCTTAAAAACATGAAATCATTTTTTCCAAATAACCTTGTGGGTAGGGATTATTATTGTATCTACTTTACAGTTGGGAAAACAGTGGTACAGAAAGGCTTGGTACCTACCCCAAGGTTACAGTCAGGAAGGGAATGAGGTACAGTATTTCTTTCAACCATATTTTCTGAATCTATTGGTCTCTATAATGTTAAGCAGATATAGGAAACTCAAAAACTCATTATCCTAAAGGAATTAAAGGGTTTTTGTTTGTTTTGCTGCTGGGGATTGAACTTATATTATGAGTTTTTTTTTTTTTTTTTTTTTTTTTAAGGAGGAAAAAGATACTCCTGAATACAATTTAAACATCTTAATTCATATTTTTAGAATTAATTCTGTTAACAGTTCTTGCTACTTTTTTAATACTTATTTTTTTTTTGTTGTAACTGGACATAATATCTTTGTTTTACTTATTTATTTTTTATGTGGCGCTGAGGTTCGAACCCAGGGCCTCCCACATGCTAGGTGAGCGCTCTGCCTCTGAGCCACAATCCCAGCCCCCAGTTCTTGCTACTTAACTAYTCAACCTCCACCATGGGCCTCTGAAGATTAAAGATTAAACCAAGAACAAGGTAAAGTTATTTAAGATGAGACCTCTGATTGCCTAACCAGTGATCAGTGTCCAGTCTCACTTTTTTCCTTTTGAATGTGTCCMTTTAAAAACTACATTTCCCAGCTACTCTTGCAGTTACATGCCTGGTCAATGT